GTACAGTCCACAGATCAGGAGAAAATCCCTGCTAGGAATTCGATATACGCGCATGCGCAAGATTTCGCGGTGAGTGACGACCGATCCTAAAAGCATTCGTTCCACAACCACTGAACGAACAACAGACGACAGGCTTTCATGTGTTCTGATGGGTACAGCTTTAAGATTACCTCACAGCGGCACAGCGATTTAATCTAGAATATTATCGCAACACCACAGAAGACATTAAAAGTGCGCTCACTACACGCTACTCGTAACTGCTTGATGTTTTCAGTCTGTGTAGTAGCGTAAAACTCTGACGTATCACACTTCCCACCAATAGCAGCCCTCTAGTCCACCAGGCAGTAAACATTCCCCCAGCAGGGATTTTCTCGTGATCTGTGGACAGTACCTAGTGGAAGTAACGAAAATTACTTGCAGGGACTGAGATAAGAAACTGCCACACAGCCGGGCGTTACAACTGCCGTACAGCCAAGCCGTCTCTCAAGGTCAATGGATATAACAAAGATGTTGGGCTTTATTCCCTGAGATAAGCTGACAGCGATGATGTATGACAATGATCACAATAAGCCCACCTGCTGTGGCTTCAGTTAACGCACTTCGAGATGGCCTACGCGGCCACTGGCAGCTTCTTCTCCTTCAAACTTCAAACAGTAGTGAGTTACTCTGTGTTCCGCACATTTCCAAAATCTGCTACTCCACGGAGCAGAGATGTTCTTGGGAAGCAAACATTTCCTCAGATAGTAAAGACACTGTTCGCCTTTATGGAAATAGAAATCTCAGTCAGATGAATCCAGCGAACACTCACACATCTCAATCGCTAAAATCAAATTTGTCTTGCTCAAAGCTACCCCATGCGTGCTACATGACCCATGCATGAGGAATAACAATTTTCAAGCTCCTCATTATGCAGTTATGTTCCTTCATCTCTACCTCAGGACCCTATTCCACATGTGTCTCTCCCTCAGGGTGACCGCCAAAGTTCCATACGCAAAAAGGAGTAAAACTGAAAATCGAATCATATTTTTTAAACACAGGTAGCCCTCGATTTACGCCGGGTACATGTTCTTGGACGAACCGGCGTAAATCGAAACTCTTTTATAATGTAAATCAATCGGAAGTCAATGACGTGCGTTCCCAGCACCCAAACATTGACGAGTAATATAATGGCATTACATTTAAAGCTCTGAAATAACGTAAATAAAATAAAGGGAATTTGAAAAATATATTTTATACACTTACAATCGGCAATTCGTTGGTCCCCGCGATTGACTGCGGTTCTTTCATGCGATTGATGTGC